AAAAAAAGAACAAACTGTCATATTTCAAAATTTGCTGAGAAGAGTACTGTAATCAAAAAACATTATGTATTAGCTGAATGGACAGCTCAATAAAGAACAGACCACACACAGATGGTTGATTTTTGTATAAAATTATGTATTATTTTGGCATTTGTATATACAAGTCATACAAATGCCCAAATAATATAATGAAAAATTACTCTCTTCAATAAATGGTGCTTTAACATATAGTTTAAAAAAAAATGAACCTCAACCTCACACAAAAAAATAACTCACAAAACAGATTATGGGTTTATATTTTAAAGCTAAAACTATAAAAACACTGGGTTAAAAAGTGGAGAAAATCTTAGTGAACTCGGGGTAGGCAAAAAAAACTGTTGTAGGCTGAAGCAAGAGAATCGCTTGAACCTGGGAGGTGAAGGTTGCAGTGAGCCAAGATGGCACCATTGCACTCCAGCCTGGGCAACAGAATGAGACTGTCTCAAAGAACAAAAGTAGCTTAAGACTGACAATACCTAAATTGGGGAGAGTGTGAACCAACTTTGGAGGGAACTGCTAGAGGGAGTATAAAGCAATACACCAGTGTAAACATACATTTATCATAATAACGAGAAACTCCAAGTATTTACTCAGGCAAATGACAGTGTAACCACATCAAGACTTTTCTACAAATATCTCTAAGTTTTATTCATAATAGCCCCAAACTAAAAAAAAATATTAATTTCTACCAGCAGGTGAATAAACTACATATAGAGCCGACAGATTATATAGATCATTCTTTTTTTTTTTTTTTTTTTTTTTTGAGACATAGTCTCACTGTCGCCCAGGTTGGAGCGCAGTGGAGCAATCTCAGCTCACTGCAACCTCAACCTCCCAGATTCAAGTGATTCTCCTGCCTCAGCCTCCTGAGTTCCTGGGATTACAGACACCTGCCACTGCATCCAGCTAATTTTTGCATTTTTAGTAGAGACTGAGTTTCACCATGTTGGTCAGGCTGGTCTCAAACTCCTGACTTCGTGATCCATCTGCCTTGGCCTCCCAAAGAGCTGCGATTACAAGCATGAGCCACCACGCCTGGCTAGATCATTCTTAAATATTAATCCTTTGCCAACAAAGCTTGCACTCGAGATGATTTATACTTTTTGCCAAGAAATTAGTCCAGAATAGTTACACATCTTGTATACTGCCAGATAGTAAAGAAATCTTGGAAAAGGGATTTAGTCTTTTTTTTTTTAAGACAGGGGTTTCACCATGTTGGTCAGGCTGGTCTTGAACTCCTGACCTCAGGATTTATTAATTTAGGATGACAATGAGAGCATGAAAAAGTATTTTATAGAAAGGGAAACTAGATCTGAAACTGTTTTAGAATACTGCTTGCATTAAAGGAACAACTCTGGAGTATAACCATATTATACTCTAGAATTCTGAAACTATGCCAGATTAGGTAGAATTGGTCTTTTGGGAGGCAGGAACCTAAAAATCTAACTTTTTTCTTTTTTTGAGATGGAGTCTCACTCTGTCGCCCAGGCTGGAGTGCAGTGGCACGATCTTGGCTCACTGCAACCTCCACCTCCCAGGTTTCAAGCGATTCTCCTGCCTCAGCCTCTCAAGTAGCTGGGATTACAGGGGTGCATCACCGCACATGGCTAATTTTTGCATTTTTAGTACAATGGGGTTTTCACCATTTTGGACAGGCTGGTCTCCAACTCCTGACCTTGTGATCTACCTGCCGTGACCTCCCAAAGTTCCGGGATTACAGGTATGAGCCACTGCGCCCAGCCAAAATCTAAATTTTTTTAGGTGATTCTAGTAGTGTTAACGTTTGAAAATCTCCAGTTTTTGAAATCTACAAAGTGTATGCACTATAACATATTTGGCCTCAATAAACCTATTGTTTGGCCTATAGCATGGGCCCATAAAGTAATTGTGTGCATAAACATTCACACATTTTTAATTGCTTGACAATGTCTAATACTAGAAAAACTTTATTCAAAAATCCAGATTCAGACTTTGCATTAAATAAAAGATTCTTCAACACCTGCCCTGTACCCACATGACAAACTGCTATAGCTAAGCAGAGTCTGCCTCCTGCTTGCACTCCCCACCATTTCCTATCATTTTACCACAAGGCTCACAGTTCTCCATCCCAACTACCTGCTTACCCTTGTGTAATAAATATTACTTGACTCATGATGCTTGTACTCACAAATTTATTAGGAAAATGAAGAACTAATTTGATGAAATGAACCTGTTACTTCATTAAGAAATATCTAAACTTTTGCTTCAGCTAGTATTAAAACAAGTATGCAAGGAGAGAGAAAGGGAGAAAATACCCATCACAAAGACTTAGGATAGCATTTTTAATTTACTAAAGATAACTAATCCTTTTAGAGGTGTATATATATATATTATATATATTTTTTTTTGGTTTTTGTTTTTGTTTTTGAGACGGAGTTTCGCTCTTGTTACCCAGGCTGGAGTGCAATGGCGTGATCTCGGCTCGCCGCAACCTCCACCTCCTGGGTTCAGGCAATTCTCCTGCCTCAACCTCCTGAGTTGCTGGGATTACAGGCACGCGCCACCATGCCCAGCTAATTTTTTGTATTTTTAGTAGAGACGGGGTTTCACCATGTTAACCAGGATGGTCTCGATCCCTTGACCTCATGATCCACCTGCCTTGGCCTCCCAAAGTGCTGGGATTACAGGCTTGAGCCACTGCGCCTGGCAAGGTGTTATTTTTAAGTATAATTTGTTAAAAGCTTTTTCTTTAGTGTAAAAACAAAAACATCTTCCAATTTGAATATTTTCTTTCAACTCTTGCTTACAATACAGCATAAAGATAAAAAAAAAAAAAAAACACTCAGATTGTAATTACATAGAACATTTTGAGAAATATGGAATCCCAAACCTGTCTCAGAATTGAGAATGAGAACTTTATGACCCATGTTCTCATTAATTCAAGTCCACATGTCATGGTCATGATGCAAACAATACATCAAAATTCTGTAATCATGTACAATTCAGATCTTAATTGGCTACTAGCCTGTTTAACCATTTAAAATATAAATAGAAGAGGCCAGGCAGGGTGGCTCACTCCAGTAATCACAACACTTTGGGAGGCCAAGGCAGGCAGATCACCTGAGGTCAGGAGTTCTGCACCAATCTGGCCAAAATGGCAAAACTCTCTCTCTACTAAAAATACACAAATTAGCTGGGTGTGGTGGCGCCCAGCTGAGAAACAAGAATAGTTTGAACCGGGATGGGGAGGTTGGAGTGAGCTGAGATCACGCGTGCCACTGTACTCCAACCTGGGTGACAAAGCAAGATTGCCTCAAAAAAAAAAACAAAGAAAGAAAGAAAGAAACTTAAAAATATGTCTAAGAACTAAGAATTAAGATTTAAGTTTTCACCTGTACAAACTTTCTAGTCGTGGGCCTCTTCAGAGCAAACTAGTGTGAACGATCTGAGAATATGTCCAATTTGCAAGCCAACAAATAACTTACCAGTTTCATGGATGGTGACAAGAAGACACTCAAGGGTCTGAGACAAAGGGCAGTTTTTTTTAACTCACAGGAACAGCATAAGCCAAAACATCAAGATTTTTGCACTAGTTCTCAAAACTCCAGGTTCCTATTGGGCAAAGTGAAGAGAGCCAGTTGACATCTACCCAGGCAGTTCCTTCTCTACAGGAGAGGAACTGTAAGCTTAGGGAACCCTAATATTTTAAAACGGGCAGTAAGCATGCCTACCTTTTTGCTCCAGGGGGAGACATTAACCTTATTATACCGGATAGTATGTATCCCTGCCTTTTGCTCTGGTGGAAGACACTGTCTTACAAGGCTGCTCTTTAGAGAATATCCATGAAATAATAGAAACAAAGGGCAGTCAGTATCTCCCTGGCAAGAGTGAAGAAACGGAGACCTATGGAAAATTGTCTCCTACAAGTGGATACTGCTGGTAAATAAACGAGTCGCAGACTACAATCTATTTAAAGTATCCATTTCATACACCCCTTGACCTAGTGTAATTACTTAATTAGCATTTTATTTCAAACTAAATCAACGATTCCCTCTGTAAAGTATTAAAAATGTTTTTCCAGTTACACTGTATTTTTTAAAAGGAGGTGCTCAAACATTTGCAATAATAAAATTTAAAAGCCGGCAAGTGTGCTACCCGAAACTGTACTTACTTAAACTTACTTTAAATGTTTCAAACCTGTTAACTTTAGCAATGAGAACTACCTGTCAAAAGTCTCATTTTACAGCAAAAAACACCACAAAGAGAAGAGTAACTTCCAGCTTTGTCTATAAAATACCAGAAAACCCTGCACTCCAAATCACTTTGTACTATTTCTCTTTACCGTCTCAAAATAAAACCTTTGAAAGAGACAGACAACAAAACAACGTCTCTTGGTTCCTTTGTCCCCAGCAGAAGACAGAGGAGAGAACTGGAAACTCATTAAGGTAGAGCCCCAAACATCCAAGACAAATAAATGACATCCGATCTGCAATCATCAAAGAAAGTCACCATCACTTCATCTTCATCCCTCCCTTCCCCCTCTCCAGCTCAAATAACGTGGATATAGACGAGATGATCAGGATCATATGGACCTGGACAAAGCTTAGCGGAGGCAGCTGGCGGGTGGCAGTTAACTGGCTGCAGCCGGCAAAGAACCCGAGATTCCGGCTGCAGGAGACTCGGACAGAGGTCTGCAAAAGTGCGGGCGGCACGGGCCGCTCGGCTCCACAGAACGCGGAGCAGCCGCGGCGGCGGCGGCGCAACCAAGTCCACAGCGCCCGGGGAAGTTGTTGGCCGAGCGCGGCACGCCGCAGAGCGCGGGCCCTCCATGTCACCGTCGCCAGCACAGACCCTCCTGCTCGCCCCTCCCCCGCCGTGCTCCCCGGGCGGCGGCGACGTGACAGCGGGTCGCGCCGCACAAGGGCGCCCGTCCCTTCCCAGCCCCTTCCCCAGGCTTCCCCGCGGCCGCGGCCGGTTCTCACCTTGGGTGGCGAACGGCGAAGAGCCGCTGACCGGCGAGCCCGGGGCAGGAACGGGCGGCGGGGTCTCGGCCGAGCCCAGCATGGGCGCGGGCAGCATGAGGTACCGCTGGGGCGCGGGCAGGCAGCGCTGGCAGAAAGAGTGCAGGCAGGGCAGCAGCTTGGGCGCCCGGCTCTGGATGTTCTGGTGGCACACGGCGCAAGTGTCCAACAGGTTGAGCCGGGCCGCCTCGCCGCCGCGCTCCGAGTCCGGGCCCTGCCGACTCTCGGCCTCGTTCTCCCCGCTTGGCGCGGCTGAGGGCCCTCCAGAGGCCGCCGCTGAGGCCGCCGCCGCCGCTGCCGCTGCCGCCGCCTTCTCCACCGCCACCTCCATTGTCCTGCCCCCGCCGCCGCCGCCGGGGAAGCGAGAGCGCGGTCTCCGCCCGCCGCCCCCGACGACCTCCTCCTCCTCCTGCGGCTGCTCCTCAGAGGCCGCTCGGTGGACCCACGGCAGCGCCAGCGAAGGAGGGAGAGCAAGCCGGCCGGGGGAAGCCTCCTCAGGCCCCGGGGATCCGCCTCCCGAGTGGCGCGGCCGGAAGAAGGGGATCTGTCAGCGGAGACCGTTCCTCGCACCGGGGAGGCTGCACCCCGTCCGCTTCGCCAACCGCCGCGGCGCTCGTCGAATCCGCCCAGCCCGCCCTCGCCTCCCCGCCTTTCTCTTCATCCCCCGGCCCACCTCAGGCCCCGCCCCCGCCCTCCCTCTCCCAGCAACTGAGTCTTCGGCGAGGAGCGCGCCGCCCAATAGCGGCCGCGCCTGGAGAGAGGGCGGGGCCTGCCGGAGCAGGCGGGAGGTTGGGAAGTGGGAGGTGCTTGCCCAGCCCCGCCCTCTCCGGGCTCCTGGAACCGCAGCCTCTGATTGGGCCTTTGTGTGTGTTTCCTCCTCAGCAAAGATTAAGGGCTCATTTGTTAACGAGCAGACGCCTGATTCGGTCCGCGGTGTTAGCTCCTCCTACGGGGTGGGACCTCACTTGTCTACTCCATGCCGTTAATTAAATAACTGCTTGGAAAACTGGTTTTAATCCTGGAGACAGGGTCTTGTAGGAGGAGTAAATATGGTGGGAGGGTCACAGGAGGAAGGAGCAGAGGTACTGAAGAGCAAACAAGGGAAGAATTTTTAAAAATACTGTGTGCAAGAGGTAGCCTAGAGGCAGCATGGATTTTGCAACCTAGTTTTACTCATCTTTAGAATGAATGACTGAGCATTAAGAATAAGGGGGGAAGTTCTCGTGCAAGTTGGAAATTTTTAAACTGTTTCCCCAATGAAAAGGTGAAATTAATTTTTAAATCCAGTGATTTGCTTTTTAGGTGAACAAAAGTGGTTCGTTTTCCCAGGAATTAATAAAGATTGGGAAATGTTTTTATTGCATAAATATAGCATCATTAAGTAAAAATAAACCTCAATACTTATGTCCAAATAATTCATAACTTCAAGATTCTTATTTTCTCCCTCACCTCTCTACACTGACATCAGAAGTTACGCACATTTTTCACTCAAAAAATGGCGCAGCTTTTAAGGAACTTGAAGAACAGAAACGGAGTGGAGAAAACAAGCTTTTGTATACAGTAACTTTAAGAAGTGTATATAAATATATTTTTTCAATACGAATGAAGTGGTACTGGACTTTAGAGGAGGAAGGGGTGGGTCATAAAAGGCTTTGCTAAAATCACAATTTTCCTGGAGACTGTAGGATGGCCGTGGGGGAGGTCTAGGAAACCTAACCTTACTTCCCTTAAACAGTCTCCGTAGGCCTCAAGTGAGAGGCTCTTTTACTTAATTACATGCCTTCAACGGCTCTTTCCCCACCCCCCACATTGATTCTGGTTTAAGCTTGGGTTTTGGGGGGTTTTTGTTTGTTTGTTTGCACGGAAGTAGCTCTTAAACTTTAGTTTGCATAAGAATCACTTGAGAAGCTTAATGAAAAGCAGGTGCTTGGGCCACCTCGGTATTCAGTTATTCAATTTTGACAGCGTCTCAAGTGATTCTGACCTAGGTGAGTCCAGAAACAGAAGTCTATCCCACATGTCTTCAGCCATTCACAAATCCCTCCATGATTCGGTCGTATATGCCTCTCAAGCTGAAGTCGCCGCTACTCTCATGCTTCGTGCTGCAGCAATGTTAAGGCCACTCTCTGCTTTGTACACTGTTCCCTTTGTTTTAGTTCCTTCAAAATTCAGACTTAACTGTTATCCCCTAAAAACCACCCCAAAGTTCAACCCTCCTTCCCCAGAATTAAAACCGTACTGTATATTTTTGAAACTGCACCTTGAGCCGGGCGCAGTGGCTCACGCCTGTAATCCAAGCACTTTGGAGGCCAAGGCCGGCGGATCACCTGAGGTCGGAAGTTCAAGACCAGCCTGACCAACATGGTGAAACCCCGTCTTAATTTTAAAAAAATTTAAAAGAAAAAAGAAACTGCATCTTGAAAATCTTCACATGCTAGGAATGGAAATGTATACAAAATCAACTCCCTTAATATGCTAAAAATTCATTACTTAGGTGGTATACAGGATTCAAGCCTACTGAAGGTAAGTCCCTCTTATTCCTCAGATGGTGGTGATAGAGAAGGAAAACAGAGGTAAAATTGAATACACTCATTTTGAAATAATTCCATGTAATTCGATCAAACCCACTAGGTTGAAGTTTTTCAAATCATCATGGATTTACAGAAAATTATCTTCCATTGTTTTAGCCTTCCTAATTTCACATGAGTAAAACAATTGTACCTTGTACTTTGTTCACATATATGGGACTTTAAGTCTAGAAAATGAATTTATTATTATTATTATTATTATTATGTAAAGATGGGGTTTCACCATGTTGGTCAGGCTGGTCTTGAACTCCCGAACTCAGGAGATCCGCCCGCCTTGGCCTCCAAAGCGCTTGGATTACAGGCGTGAGCCACCACGTCCGGCCTATTATTTGTTTTTTTAATCATATAATTTCTTTATTTGGATATTGTTGCCCTACAAAGTGTGTTCAAATATATTTCACAAAGATCCACACTATCAATAGATTATTCTTCCTTAATTACAGCTCTCTACCTATGTTCTGCTCTTGTCCCATAATTTTCTGTGACTCTCCGCTGCATCCAAAGCTCTCCACAATTTTATTACCATCTGATCTTCCTGCCTGATGTCTCTGCTTTCCCATATCCATCCTATGCTTCCGCCTAATTGGATGACATGCTGTTCCTTAACTGCACCACTACCACCACCTGTGAGGGAGGAGATCAAAGCCGTCTAGACTGGAATAGAAGGACATCAGCAAGGAGAATAAGAGCATTAGATGCTAGTGAGATTTCTCATCCCACCCCTCAAAACATGCTCATGGATGGAAATTCTAGAGCTTCCAGGGAAGCTTAAGAAAATCATTTTTGAGGCTGGGTGAGGTGGCTGCCTCAGCCTTCCGAGTAGCTGGGATCACAGGCGCCTGCCACCATGCCTGGCTAATTTTTTCTATTTTTAGCAGAGATGGGGTTTTGCCATGTTGGCCAGGCTGGTCTCAAACTCCTGACTTTGTGATCTGTCTGCCTCAGCCTCCCAAAGTGCTGGGATTACAGGCATAAGCCACCGTACCCTGCCAGCTAATTTTTGTAATTTTTTTAGTAGATGTGGGTTTTTGCCATGTTGGCCAGGCTGGTCTAGAACTCCTGACTGTCTGGTAGAGGACTTTTGGCCCCGTTCCCCAGCCATGTGGAAAGGGCCTAATTCCCAATAAGGAAGGCCCTTCCTCCCCCACAGGGAGGGTCCCTTATCTCACTCTATCCTGGCCCGGCCCAAGACCAGCAACCTTCCCGCCCAGCGGCCCACTGAACCAATCACCATCTGCCCTACCAGCTCTCCCGTAACCTCCCGTCCCACAAGCTCGTGCCCGGCAGGCTTCCTGCCCAGCAACCAACCTAGCCAATTACTACCCGCCAGGTCAGCTCTCCTACCGCCCCAGGCCCTCTGTCCCTATAAAGTCGACCGAACAAAGAAAGGGCGCGCGATTTCTCCCTTCCCGCTTGAGTCTCCCGGAGATCCCAATAAAGTCGGTACCGGTCACCACGCGTCCTGCCTCGAGTCTATTGAGCGCCTGCCTCCGTGGGTCGGGGTCCCACAGCCGGGGTCGCACACTGACCTCAGGTGATCTGTCTGCCTTGGCCTCCCAAAGTGCTGGGCATGAGCCACCGCACCCAGGCAAGGGAAAGTCTTTTTAGAATCAATGTAAATATACTCTATACAAATATACCTGCAATACATCATTGAAATTATAATACAAATAATTTTAGTAAGCTTTTAACCAAAAGGTTTGGACTAAATTGTACCCACTCCCCCACCCACCACCACCAAATGTATATATAGAAGCCCTAACTCCCAATGCAACTGTATTTGGGTCTTTAGGAATAAAGTTAAATGAGGTCATCAGAGTGGGGCTGTAAAAGGAAACCACTTTTTTTCTATATTCACAACACTTCTGCTACCAGATGTATGGGTTTTCCACACCAAGGAATTCTCCAGTTTTCTGCAAACACCAACTAGATGTCCAAAGACTCAGTTCAGTTCTGGCATTAACTATCCAGAGTTGACATCAGAATCTACAGGCTCAAGGTTCAGTCTGAAAAGCCTGCCCCTCACTTTATTTTTTCTTTATTTTTAATAAGATAGGCTCTCACTGTTTCCTAGACTGGTCTTGAACTCCTGACCTCAAGCCATCCTCCTGCTTCAGCCTTCCAAAGAATTGGGGTAAGAGGCCGCTGCACCCAGCCTGCCTCCCACTTTAGATGCCAATTGCAAGTTCCTGGCCCCTAGTGCTTCCAGCCAGCTTGGTTGCAAATCGGGGGCTCTTACAACTCCTTACTCTGGTTTGTTAATTTGCTAGAACATCTCACAGAACTCAGGAATGTACTTTACTTATGTGTATTGGGTTATTATAAAGGAGGAAACTCAGGAAGAGCCACATGGAAGAGATGTACTGTGTAGGGAAAGGGACAGGGGTGGGGAGGAGGTGCAGAGAGTTTGTATGCCCTTCTGGGGGCACCACTTTCCCCCAACCTCCATGTGCTCATCAACCTGGAAGCCCTCCAAACCCCATCGTTTAGAGTTTTTATGCAGGCTTCACTACATAGTCATACTTGATTAAATTATTAGTAGTGATTAGGTCAATCTCCAGCCCCTCTCCCCTCCTCAGAGGCTGGAGGGTGGGGCTGAAAGCTCCAACCATCCCAGTCAAATGTTGGTCTGGGTTTTTTTTTTTTTTTTTTTTTTTGAGACAGAGTCTCCGTTGCCAAGGTTGGAGTGCAATCTCAGCTCACTGCAACCTCTGCCTTCTGGGTTCAAGCAATTCTCTGCCTCAGCCTCCCGAGTAGTTGGGATTACAAGCGCGCACCACCACGCCCAGCTAATTTTTTATTTTTAGTAAAGACGGGGTTCCACCATCTTGGCCAAGGCTGGTCTTGATCTCCTGACCTCATGATCCATCCGCCTCGGCCTCCCAAAGTGCCAGGACTACAGGCATGAGCCACTGTACCCAGCCAAATGTTGGTCTTTCTGGTAACCAGATTCCATCTTGCAAGAGTCACTTCATTCCCACAAATCCTCTGTGGTTAAAAGGTGCTTATTATGAATAACAAAAGGCACTGCTCTCACCCCATCCCTGAGGAAATTCCCAGAGTTTTAGAAGTTCTTGAGTCTGCATCC